GTGAAATAATTATTGTGCAGAGAGATCATGCCCACACGTGTGTGGAAGTAGGGTTATAAGTGTAGGGAGCTGAGAACTGCATCTCTTTGGTGATGAAAATCTGGGAAGTGGGCCACTTAACCTGGAGAGGAGAAGGCTCAAGGATCATTTCATCAGTGTATGTAAAGGGAGGATGGAAAGAAGACTGAGCCAGGCTCCTCTTAGGCCTAATGGTGTGACAAGAGGCAATGGGTGTATACCAAAACATTCCATATTGTGGAATTGAAACCTTTGGTGACTGCTGGAGGAGGTGTTGGAGTGCTGGGGATGGCAGGAGATGACCCTCTGCTGGCACCAGAGGGGCCTTTTGTGTCTTAATTGTGTGCAATTAAGTTGTGTTGTAACTGAAAAAGTATTTAACGTGAGCAGCTGATGTTTTTGCTCCAATGAACACGTGCTTTGACAGGATAGAGAAGAATGGGACTGGGGTACCAATGCTGCAAGTAATAACTGAATACATTGTGTAGTTCTTGAGTCGTCAAATAGAGAAGCCAGAAAGGACTTCTGGGATGTACAAGAAGCTGTGCATGTGGCCACATATCAAAGCCTCTCTGAAAATTTGAGAGAAGAGCTGCATTCTGTATGGGAATTGGTACAAATCAGTTGATAAGTCATCTTTATTTATTTTGGTTACTGTTGTTCTCTTTGTTTCTTAAAATAACTTCTGTAGACAAAAAGAACTGACTAACTTTTTGAAGGGCAGGTTAAACTGCTCTGGAACACAGTGTATGTCAGCAAACTGAAGATGTTGGTTTTTTGTTCCTTTTATAGCTTTGCTTCTTGATCCTGAATAAATGATACCTCCAAAGTGCTCCCGTTGTCTCAAAGATGGCAACTATTTCAGAACAAATGAAGTCATCTTATTTTGGTGCAGTGATTCAGATGTGCTCCTGACAGTTTCAAAGCACTGTATAAGTTTCTATCAGCCCTGAAAATCTCTATAAAGCACAAAAGCTGTGAGTTCTTAGCAGTTAAATGTTCTTTGGGTTCCCACTGGGAAGGCGGGGGAGCGAGCGGAGGACTGTGGTGCTTTAGCCACCTGCTGGGTTAAACCACAACAGTCTGCTATACGTTTTCATAAGAAAATTAAATTCCTTAATTTAAGTTGTTAATTCCTTAAGTTTATGTTGTTAATTTATTGAATTGAAATTGTTTATTAATTTGCCACTGTACACATTGCCTATCAAGTCCATATGAACTAGTAAGTGCAATCAAGCAGTCTGAAACAGTTGTTTTTGCCCTCAGCAAAGTTTGAAACATAGTTCCAAGCCAAGGAGTTGTTATATAACATGACCTGCTTGTTTCTTACACACCAGTGAGCACTGGACAGATTTTCTGCTCAGGTGCACCTAACACGTATTTCATGCTTAGCTGCTTTCTTTTTGTGGAATGGCGTATTTGACCTGAAAGAGATTGGTGGTGCCAAAAGCAGTATATTAAATGTTCGTTCTTTCTTTCTGAGTCATCTCCCTTGGGAGATCTGCTTAATGTGCTTCACTCCTGCCATCTGTAAGAACAAGTGAGTTGGGGGTACTGATGCAGAATATCCCCTTTGTAACTACAGTTCTTAGAGTATAAATTTTTTGCTTGCAATACTAACTTCATCCTTGGATGTACAATAGTCTTGAATGCTGGTTATCTTGCTTTGGGGCTGATGAACTGGAAGTGGTAACATTATTCTCTGTTTGGGTCCAGTTGCTTGATGACTTTCCTGAACACAGACAATGCATCATTTAGGTGATGACTTCTGTGTAGTAAAACAGAGTTGTGTGTTCTCATCTGGGTTTTAATGCAGATTCTTGAGAGCAGGTTTTGAATGTTCAGTACCTTTCTTACATGCTATTTAGGGAGGAATCTCAGCATAGTAAGTTTGCAGATTATTCTTGCAAAGCTGTCCACCCTATGACACATCTATCTGGTAGATTTTCCCTTACTTCTTTCTGGTGTGGTTCATTTCTTAAAAAGAGGCTGCCAGGAAAAATTGTTTAGGTTAGTAACTGTAATCTTATAAGCATTATGTGGTGTAAATCTCTTCAGTGAATTCCAGTGTTGTCAACAAATGATGTCTTTTCAGTGCAGAAATAAAACCATGATTTTTGTGCAGGCAGTCTGTTTCATCTGTGCCTGCCTATCTTTGAAGGAAGTAGTATGCATTCATTTGCAAAGCAGGTAACACCTTGTTCTATTTCAGTAGCAGCAGCCCTTGGAGGACAGCGAAGACCAGCTTTCTAAGCATTCAGACTAGCATTCATGAGACTGAAAAGCAGGAAGGCTTTTTGCTCGATTAGTGCTTAAGTTGTGCTTTTGAGAATGGAACCAAATCTCAGCTAGTTGGGCATATGAGAGCAATCTAAGTAAAAGCGGTGCTGTACTGCCACTGGCAGTGTGTTTGGGGCTTCTTGAGAGACGAAGTAGATACTACTTAGTTCGATGAAGTGGGCTTCAGTAGGTTTTTTTGTTTTTGTTTTTTTAACCTAAGTACCATAACTAAACTTCTTGTTTCTCTCTAGATCACATTGGCTTTGGAAGCCAGATGGAAAGTAGAATGATCATCTTATGGTAACTGATAGTCAAAATGTAAGTTTGTGTAAGCAATTGTGTACGAGTAAGAACTGTTCATGGATGACAGCACAATAAATGTTCTTGAAATTCACTAAAGAAGTAGTTTTAATGTAGGCAATGTGCTCTGCTATTCATTTGCAGTACTTCCACCTTGATGATGTAAAACCTCAGAAAGAAAAAATTATGATAAAAAAAAAGTCTCAGTTTTGAAAGGGGACTCCAAGTGATACTGTTTGTATATTTCCACTGCAGTATATTTCTTCTTTTTTTTTCAATTTTTGGAAAAACCAAAAACAACACTTTGCAATTATTAAAGAGTAATAGAGGAACAGCTATTAATAACTTCTAGTGTTAAGCCTTAAAGTCACCCTTCTTATGTGGTGTAAATCTTCAGTCAAAATGTTGTTGCCAAAATCAGTGGACAAACTCAAAGGAGCAAAGGAGCAAAGGAGCATACCATGTGTCTCATGAGCTCTCACTGCTCTGTACTGGAACAATTTGTCAAGCCTGGAAGAATGCTATAACTGTAGGCTGGTTTGGTTTCTTTACTTAAATAGATGATTGTTATTATGTGGAGTTTGTACCACATAATTTCAAGTTTTTTATTGACTTAATTTGATTAATTTATTTATTTTCAGGAGAATTTGTATGTATGCATGTATGGTAGGTTTATGCATATATATACTTCCAATTATTATCCTTTTCTTAAAAACAAGTTTAAAAGAATCTATTATTATTATTCATTTTTGCCTGCCACAATGATGAGCTTCTAGAAGACAAGGAAGATTATCTTAACCTTCTGAGGAGTGAGCCTAAGGAGAAATGCAGCAATTCTATTACCAAAATAATAAAAAGAGGCAACTGCAGCAAGAAAACAAAGAGCAGGCTGAAAAGGAAGTTTCATTACCCAAAGTCCACTGGGAGAAGGAACAAGAGGAATCAGATTATCACAGGGAATTCCAAGTTTTCCGTTGATTAATTTATTTATTTTCAGGAGGAGGACTTAAATGTATGATAAACTTATGCAGACATTCATTTTAATTAATCTTTTTCAAAAAAAAAATATTATCTACCTCAATCTGAGGGTGAATGGTTCTGCTTTCTATACTGTTTGGTTCAGTCATCTCATGAAAGCCTGTTCTGTATGCTTCCCAATGGAGGCAAGCCAGAAGGAGGAAGAAAAATAAATTCCTTCAATAAAAGCATAGAGGGAGGTGTAATTTGGAGGGTGCAGGGGAGTGAAGGAGTGTCAGGGATGCTAAGATGTGCCTCGAGGGGTTTAGGTTGTGGTGCTCTTCAGCAGTGTAGAGCCCTGTCTTGCAAGGAAGAAACTCTTTGCTCACAGGGTGTGATTTTGGTGTTCAGCTGTCAGGCAAGATTATTGGTCTAAGCTATTTTTTGTTATTGTTATTAAATGCCAGTGAAATTCTATTTATATTCAGTCGATGAGGAGGTTGTCCTAAATCATTTTTTCTTTTCTTTGGTAGAAAGAACAAGTCACTGCAAAGATAGAAAGAGAATGGCGAAGTAGGCTTCAACAAATGAAAAAAAAATAAAAGAACAACCTGTGGTTGAACATAGGGACTGCAGTGGTTATACGAACAGAGAAACATGCGTGAGTGGTATTTCAACTGATATTTTCACCTCCCTCCCAGCCCTTGAAACGTGCTGATAGTTGAGCACTGTAGCTTTCCCAAAGCTGTCCCGTGCACTATGGCAGGACCGGGGGCTGCGGAGCTGGGGAAGAACTTCATGGGAGGCACAGCAATGTCTCTGGGGCTTTCAGTTTATTTGAGTTGTTGTGCAACAAAAAACATAAAGGGAGAAAGCCCAAGAGAGTCCTTGGCTTTGTGCCTATAACGCGGCTTGAATTCCTTCACCACCAAAATAACAAACCATCTATTAAATGCAAAACAATGCAGGCAGCACAGCCCTTCTGCCTCTCGAGCTCCCTGTGCTGGCTGTAGAAAGCAGCCGTTGCTCCCCTGGAAGTAGCCCAGTCTTTGTAAATTTCTGAACTTAACTCAATGCAGCCGCGTGTGAGCCTTCCCAGCTGGGCGAGTTTCCTTCAGCTGACTCCAGCAGGCCCTGTTTGGCTGTTGGCTTTAAAAATAAATAAGTAAGGGGAGAGATAAGTGGCAGTTCAGCCTCCCAGTGCCGTGTTGCTGCCTGTTTTGAGACCTCTGCGTCTGATTGTTGATGGGAGCGTGCTGAGGCTGGGAAGGCTGTGTGATTTGACTGGAGCTGCTGCAGGTTCTGTACCAGGCTGCTGTGATTACTTAAATTGGACTCATACACGGTATGCTTCCTTAGCGTAGAGTGGAAATAGCAAGGTTGAATATGATTCATTTGGGACCCTTGAGTGATGGGTGACTTCTAGTATTTGTTGTTTCAGATCATCAAGGAGCAAGGAAGAACCTTTGGTCTCAAGAAGTGTTGTGCTGTAAACACTGCAGCCAGGAGCTGGAAAAGAAAGAGGCTGTGTGCCAGGACTTGAAAAGAGAGTTGGAGACTGCTCACAAACGTCTTCATCTCTCTGTAAGGAAGCAGAGAGCAATGTCAGAGCAGGTCCAAGGTAAGGATGCTGAGTCAGAATAGAAAGCTGTGAATGTCTTGGCCTGACTGACCGCATTTACCTCCTTTCTTGCTCAATACAGTTTTCAGTGGATGTAATGGTGTATGCATGCATGCTTTAACAAAATGAAGTGGAAACCATTGCTCTCATAGATGTAAATTGAGTCTTTGCTTTGGGCCTTGCATGTTGATGTTTTGCTCAGGCTAAGTCCAGTGGGTTCATTTATTTAGACTTCTGCAAAATGTGCTGTGTTTGATTCCTGCATGCTTGTCTCTGGTGCAGCTGATTGTTTACTGGTGATGCTTGTTGACATTTGGGTCTTCTACATTAAGGCAGCAGTTTGTGATGTTTTATGTTGAACTCTGCTTGAATGTGGGAAAGTACATTATTTTATGGTTCATTACTGGCTTTTCTAGAAAACGAGAAGCTTGTGGAATCTCTAATTGCAGAAAACACTGAGATGAAGGCTAAACTGAAAGACATGGGCACATCTCCAAGGTATTTCAAAAAGCAATGTGGACAAGGTGATATTTGTAAGGTCTAGGCTGCTCTTAGGCTGTGTGACTTGTATTATTTTCAGGTTGCTATCCAAGGGAAATGTCTCAAAAGCCTGTTCATCCTGTGGCTCTGTGAAAGGGCTGGAAGAAATGCGTGCGCAGTACATTAAATCTGTGAGCAAGATAAAGAGTAAGTACAAGAGGTTCAGTTAAAAGGTTGGGAGACCAAAATCATTTACTTGGTACTTTTTCCTCCTTCTATTAACTCAGCCTGGGAATCTGACAGCCAGGTCACCTAAGAACGCCCAGTTGATTTCTTACTGGGGGGAATGTTGCAATAGTCTGGGACAAGCTTCATTGTGTGGTATGAAGCCTTGTTATGCTGTCCCTGCCTTGTTGCACTGATTTCTGTTTCTCAGATGGTACAAGCCTTGGATGTACCAACCAGCATTCATCTCAAACCCCTG